CAATGCAACAAAAATTAATGCAACATGTTAACTTCTTTGGGTCAAAAAAGTATTCGTACGAAACAAACCGCTACATGTAGCGCGCTACTGCCCACCTCTGCTTATAGATGGTAGGATGAATGCTGCAAACTACCAGAGCATCCTGGAAAATAATTTGACGACTTCTGTTGAGAAACTAGAGCTACCTCGTGATTGGATTTTCCAGCAGGATAACAATCCTAAGCATACTGCAAGATCCACAAAGAAATGGTTCGCTGATAGAAATGTACACGTTATAGAATGGCCAAGCCAGTCGCCGGACTTAAATCCGATTGAAAATTTGTGGCGGTATTTGAAGATTCAAATTAAGAAAAGGTCCCCAACAAACATTGAGAATCTTAAGGTGGTGTGCCAAGAAGAATGGTATAAAATACCAGTCAGCATCTGTAAATCATTGGTCGAGACGTATAGAAATAGACTGGTATCTGTTGAGCTGAATAAAGGGTATTCAACCAAGTATTAAATTAAAATAATGCGGATTTATTGTTTTGTACGAATACTTTTTCACCCGCAGTGGCCTTTCTGACCCCATGTTTGGGTTGCCCATACTCATATTCACTTTTAAAGTGAACATGTTGCATTGTTTTTTGTTGCATTGAGATTTAATTTCTTTTGATAGTATTTTTGAATACTATGCATCTCTATACATAATTTAAATCACTTTTCCTGTTAAGTTTGTGTACTTACATACATTAAAATACGATTTTTCAAGTGTACGAATATTTATTTCCCCCCACTCTTGGTCAATGAAAGTTTGAAAATCGGCCTGAGAAATGCTGGTCGTTTCTCCGTATAACTCGCAAATGAAGGCAAAATCAAAAAAATTGTCACAAGATAAACATCACCGTTGGGAGGCTAGGTTTCTATATGCAGAGTTTCGTTCAAATCTGTTCAGTATTTTAGAAGAAATCTCTGGTACACTGCGAATTTAAACACCATTTTGCTGTTTAAATCATGAGTGAGGGAAAAGAGAAAAATACTCGCCAACGAAGGCAAAATGTAAAAAATTGTCACAAGCTAAACATCACACCGTTGAGAGGTTAGGCTTCTTCTATATGCAAAGTTTCATTAAAATCTGTTCAGTATTTTAGAAGAAATGGCTGGTACACTGTAGTGGTACACTGCAAATTTTGGTCAGTATTTTAGAAGAAATGGCTGGTACACCGTAGTGGTACACTGCAAATTTTGGTATGTTTTGTCATATAACTCACGAATGAAGGCGATATTAAAAATAATTGTCACGAGCTTGACATCACCGTTAGGCCATTGGAGATATTTCAGGTACAGAGTCCAGCCGCAAAACCGGCCGCAAGTACGGCCGTAACTTTGTCCGAGACGTCATCACACAACGATGAAGCAGCATTGCGTAAAAGTATGTAAAGATGATGTTGGGAATTTCTGATGACAGTTATGTCAGGAAATATTTTATTTACAAAAGATTTTGCACTCAAAACTATTTTCCATTAATTACAATGATGAAATTATTTCTGACTCCTTGCATTAACCGTAGAATCTCTAATAACCCTATCAGCGCAATAATAGTATATATAGAACGAGCAAAATCTGTCATTTAACACTAATATTTGTTTACTTCATATGTCCAATTTCTGAGGACTTGGTTATTCACCACTTGCCTCACGTCCGGACTGAATATTGCCTCACGTCCTGACGGTCTAGGGAAGGTAAACAAACGATGTTCGCCAGTTTGTATAAGAAATTTGTAGAAAATTTCTTTGAAAATAAATTTCTAGATTTTTACTTTCACAAAATTTCCATATCAAGGAAAATCATAGATTATTGATGGATAATTAAATGCATATTAAGTATTATACGTTTTTTGTCTCTTGTCCCTTGACAAAATGTATGTGCGGGCTGCGCCGACGCTTACGCGTGCTGCGCCAACGCTTGCACGTGCTGTTAGGGCCCCCCAACAGTGCAAGCAGGGATGGCCAGAAGTTGCACCAACTGTGCGCCGCAATAGCTTGAAAAAAGTCAAAATGCGCGGGAAAATTCACTGAAAACATACATAATCCTGAGTGTGGGACTGACACTGAGGTAGTTAATGTCCCACAGGGCACTCAGGCGCAGGGTGGAATTCTACAGTTAGTGAATGTCCCGCAGGCCCTGCAGTCATAGAACATAGAATTCTACAGTCATAGAACAAAAGGGTCACATTGTCCAAATACACTTTCCTGAGTTTCCTCTTTTTGCACCGGCAAGCCCATTTTGGGCTAATCATGGTCAGGATAATCCCTCAAATGCAAAACTTGCATTGCTTCTTGGACAATGCCTCACTCATTTCTCATGATTTCTGTAATAGTAGAGGTGTACATGTGAAATTTTGCATACAACAAATTGTTACACTAAATTTGGGTGCGTGATACAAGGATTTTTGACTAGTAAGTAAAAGGGTCAACTTTATACACTGAAATTATCAAGCAATACTGAGCATCTGGGTGAAAATATTTTCCTGCTTTCAAACCAGTCTCACAGAAAATTCCACCCTGAGTGGAGTGGTCAGTCCGCAGTGATGAGTGATGACTGGTGAGTGGTGTGTGCAGTCACTGCGGTGTGCCTGTGTGGTGAGTGGTGACTAAAGCTGTTTTAACTTTTACTTTACTTGAGTTTAGTAATGGTGCTAATACACAGGGCTATTATTTGCTCTGAGTATTTGGTGTGACACAGTGACAGTGTGATGGTGTGAGTACCCTCACAGTGGCACAGGGCTGCACAGTGCACTCCAAATATTATTATTCGGATAAAAGTAGGTAACTGATGCAATCTTGTGTAATGTGTATGCTGTATGGCACTAATGGCAGTATGATTATGCAGTGTGAGCACTGACCAGGTTGCCAAGGTTGGGAAAAGTCCTAGGAGGCTAGGGTAAACGTGGTATATTCCGACAGACTGACACATTAAGGACGTAGCAAAAAATGAATGGCTATAAAAATATTACATCATGTGCAACTTAAGTTCTGTTTGCTTTACGTCACTCTCAAAACACCGCACAACGCGCCAGCAGGATGGAATTCTAATTTCGAAGGTTCATATATTATTTCGATCCACCAACTTACCAAGACCACTTTTTCTACCAAACATCATTATTTGAGGCAAAAAATTAACTTCTTAAATGCTTGAAACACGTACGCTAACTTGCTCAGTTTCTATAAAGTACCTAATCACTTGGAAGTTGTAAGCCTGCACCTGTCACTCAACAATTAAAATTAGACTTATAAAAAGTATTAGTTAATTGAAAATTTGTCTCTTAAGTTGACTGCAATGAACTAAACTTCATCAAGTAATTATAACTACGCTGCAAAGCAAAGTTTTCCATTATGCACACTAAACACGCAATTCAGAGTTCAGAGGAGCAGAACTACTTCTACATATCACATTGGGTCGTTGGCTAACATGCAACTGAATTAAATACCTGGCTTCTTTCCCGCATCCCGCTCCTGGTGCATAATGTAGTGGGATGATCAATGCAGATGGTAACAGAGTCCAACTAATCATTCGTATACTTGGTGCAAGAAAATGAATAATTATGTTGTTTCTGATCAAACAAACAAAAACTTTTTCTGTTTCTGATCAAACAAACAAAAACTTCTGATCAAACGAACAAAAACTTCTTATCAAACGAACGAAAACAACTTTTTTGAAGATAATTCTGAAATTGTAACGTCTATTGAATTCTAATACGGATCGTTAATTTTAGCATTGTATTTCCAAAAATCAAGTATTGCATTTCTTTTAATTGAAAAAATTCTTTTACAAAGTAAAAATCACAGAAAATGTCATTTATTTTACATCTACATCATCTACAATGAAAGAGGAGGACTTCAAAGTACTATTAGTAATGGATGAGCACTCTGCATGCTTCAAACGTTTTAAAAATAACTTATTGCAAGTATTCTGGATTACCCTGTTCCCAGGGGTAAATCGGGATGGTTTTATTTTGCGTCTGGTACCTTACAAATAGCCAATTTTTTTGAAATAATTTTTTGAAGATGCCATTGGATAGCCTTTGCAAAGAGCTATAAAATGAGCCTAAACTAACAAAAAACGCTCAAAACCGTCCCTTTTTATCCCGTTTGACGGTATCATCTCACTAGGTATAGAAATTCCTGACATCATATCTGTTGAATCTTTAATTACTATGCTGGATGTACCCAACCTCAGTTTTCAATCTTGTGTTCACAAGTTTGCAACAAGTTAAACTCTTCTGCTTCATCAGACTCCAGAAGATCTCAATATATTAATTAGTCAGTTGTCAAGTATACAAATCTGATTTACACTAATTATTTCTTTTATTCCACTCAAATGTTCAAGCACCCCTGAAGTTGACCATAGAATTTATTATTGTCATCAGATTTACAAAATTTGTCTTTGTCTCTATGAAGTTTTAACATCATGAAAATCTTTTCTGAATTGCAAGAAGAGCTACCATACTGGCAGTACCTATACTAGCTACAAAAAATGAATTGGATGCCAAAATTTCGAGTTCACAAAGAAATTTTGGGAGACTAAAATATCTGACTTCAAAGCAATCTCGCAACCCCAAAAATGATAGCTTATGGAATCTCATATCATCCCTCTTCTTCTTGGTGCCTTCTTCATACCCTTACAATTAGAAAAATATCCAGCCATTGCAAATAGTTTGTTTGATTCAATACATATTTTTTACTGTTGACAATAAGTTGTTGACAAGAGTTTAATTAATCACCAATTCACCATTAATAGTATAAGTAGTAGCATACAAGTAAAGCAGATTTAATTATATTGGTATATATTTCTAAGTATAAATTTTGAAAAATCCACATAAATCATGAGGTTAGCACTGCATGAAGTCTTAGAAATTGGAGGTTAGCTAATTGCTTCAAAAAAAATTTATTTGTTGCCAGTATTATTAAAATATATGTCAAGGCTGAAATATTAAAACATTTTCAGTGAAAGATTTCATATGTGTTGCATTGTCCTCTAAAAAAATTAATTTTTGTGGTAGAAGAATTCCCTGATTATTAACAAGTGTTTAATAATTAGGTTAGAGTAGATTATATTACTTTCTTAATTATCACTCAACACATATTACAATGAGGCAAATAAAAAAATCAATAACCACATATTTCCTTCACACGAAGTTAAATATAATGGTTTTTGCAATTTACTCTCCTTATTTTGTCCATTTGGTTAATTAATACTTGAGTGCCACTTAGATTTGTTTATGCAGTTGTGTGTCTCATTCATTATTGAAAAAGTGTCATGTGCATTGTCAAGATTGACAATCCTTGTCTACTTCTAAAATGTTTCTTATATTTCTGAGGGCTGCCAAATATGTTGCACTCTTCCCTATTCTCTGCTGCCAGGCACTAAATTGATCATGAAGAGAATTATTACACATTCATAATACCTCACCTAAGTGAAATTCATGTCTATTGTTGCTAACTAATCTTCACTTTTAATGATTATTAAATACATTTTATCAGAGATTGATAATGAGTCATTTGAGCAACTCAGGTGAGGAATCACTGACTACTAATCTGGTGAATGATGGAGCAAACTTCAATGTCAAATACAAGGACACTGATCTCTACTCAGTATACTGCATTGATCAGTGTGTTGCATGGCTCATCAGCCATGCATTTGAAAAGGTAAGTTTTATCATCTGATTAACATTATTTATATAGGTATTAGCTCTGATGTAACAACAATTACTTGCACAGATGTTGAAAGGCTGATTTGTCACATTATCACATATACTGAATATCCATATCAAGTAGAATATGATTGTTCCAAATCATTAAGACTCACTGCATATCACCCAAATGGTAACTGTTTATGCTCTTGCTAATTTTGGTATTTTCTAAGTTGACTGATAATATAAACAATTTAGATTGTTTACAGGTTTGTGTCCAGTTTCCACAAGATTGTTGTGCTGATGCTCCACTGGTGATGCTTCTTCTGCAGGAGAAGTTACCTGAAGTTCAGTTCTCCATCATCTTCAACTCAAGTGCTGCAAAGTAGGTTTTATGCCGAATTCCTGTTCTATTTATGCTTTTATGTACATTTCATTATTTTTAATAGGAAATAATGCCACGCTATAAAATTCATTAATGTAATTTTCATATTGATTTAAAAATTTGTTACCCATTTTCAGATGCTGTGTGAGTCAAAAGGATGCAGAGTACCGTACGGCTGACGCGGTTGTGCAGTTTGGACGGACATGCTTGACTCCTGTGGCGCGACTGTCTGTGTTGCGCGTGCCAGCCCCGCGCTGGCGAGCAAACGTACCTAGCCTGTGTCAGGGCCTTCGCAGCTTTCTACAAGGTATGTTCCTCGTACTGTCAAAATAACAACCTTTCTGTTGCTGTTTTTTGCTTTTAAATAAATTTTCGTTTATGTTATTCATTATATTAGTTTTGTTGCTTGAACTCAATGATGTAATATGATATAACTGAAATTCTAGTGCAGCATAGAAAACGTTTAAAGTCTAAAAATACTCTATGACTCCAACACGATGGTTAGCATATTACAAAGATTACAAAATAAAATATTCTGCAAAACCACAACTGAACGTTTAAAACTTTTGGTGGTTAACTTTCAGATAGTTTATGATACTCTTACGTATTGTCAAACTACTGCATTGTGACGACTGTTAATTACTTGACCAACACCGATTTAGTAGGACAAAATGCATTCAACCTGAACAAAACTTTGCAGCATATGAGACGAGATTTTTTGGTCAAATTTAACTACTAGAACAATAATGGGTTAAACAAATAGGTACCTATTTACGAGCACTTGTACATAACGAGCTGACTTTAAGTTGAGTCAACGCTCATTTAGTTCACATCTTGCTATGGCTATTTTCAAGTCTATTTTCTTTCTACAGAGAATCAACTTGACAACGACAACAAGAGAATTATAGTTCTCTACGACACGAGATGCGCTTATGCCATGGGTATGTTATGGTTATTCAAATCTTTGGTCGAAGCGACTGACGGAATTGATCTTATTTTCAGTTCAATAGTAAACTTCCCATGCTTCTGAATATGCTCAAATTACATTACATTGGACATGAATGTCTTTACATTTCCTATTTAGATCTCAGAATATTTTTGTTGATACGCAATCTCACGTTGGATGAATTTTTTTCCAGGAGCTGTGGAGCAGGAACTTCGCCCTGAGTTTCCTAATATTATGATGTCACGACTTTTAATATCTCAGAGCGTATCACCCGACACGATCACTACTGATAGCACTGTCACTATCGACCCCATTGCTGCCGAATGTCTAGTCGATGTAAATGAAAAGATAAGCCAAAAAAGAAGCCAAGAATGGAATTTCTTGTGCTTTTGTCCATCTGATTACAGTCTAGGTGTTTGTAACTTTTGCTACGGTTCTTCCTTTGGTAGCAATGTCAGAAAAATTAATGAAATTGCACGTGCAGACTTTTTGACTACTTCCGTCTGTGAAAACGGTGAGAGCTTTGTAAATATCAGTGGCAGAATTTTTAGGCTACCTAATAGAATTTCCAAGGATAATATTGTATTCATATTCATCGGTCATCAAAGTCCCACTTTAACTTCATTGTCTCTCAAGTTAGCCACTTTTCCACTGTATGTCATTCACCCTGAAACCGGCGCGGTGGTAACTGCTACTGCCCAAAAAATGGTGATGCAGAGAAACTATAAAATTGAACAAATACGCGACGCCCAGAAGATTTGCTTGCTTATTTCAAACTTTAGTTTGCCAAGGTACAATGATATCGTTACTCAACTTTCGATACTGGTGAAGAAATCAGGAAAAAAACTCTTCGTCCAGTATTCAGCACACCCCGACTTGCCGAAGTTGATGAATGTGCCCGGCATTGATGTATTCGTGTACATAGCTTGTCCCGAAAGCTCTGTCATAGAAAGGGAAATTGACCCGGACTTGTACAAGATGATGGCAACTCCATGGGAACTTGAAGTTGCTCTCAATCCTAATCGTGAATGGAAATTAGATTTTGAAACGGACTTCAGTGAACTACTCGCCTGCAACGATCACCAGACTTCAACAGTTTCAAATGTGAAAGGAGTACCTCCAGATACCGATCAGTACTCCGTGTCGGTGTCTTTGCTTAGCAACAAGACTCAGTCACTTGGTATAGCTCCGACTATCGAGGTTACGTCAGAATCTATTGCTGGGGCCTTGGTGGCGGTGCCCACTCGTCAGGTCGCTCAGAGGCTACAGGCAGGAAGGGCTTTGGGTCTTTTGAAGGGCGAAGTGCCTTGGTATGGCTTGGACCCAACCATCTCTGCAGCCAGTGACGGTGGATGTGTGGAAGGAAGGAAAGGTGTTGCTGGAGGCTATTCGCAAGAAGGTAGCTGATTTATGTTAAAAGCACCTCTTCCCATGACATTGACGGAATAAATTTGAAAAAACTATAATGATTTGTCCTTACCTTATTAGTTACAGTTGTATAGAATTCTCATTGCATAGCATATTCCCATTCGTCTTTATCAGGTACTTAAAAAATGAGAAATAAACAAGCGCCATAGAAAGTTAATATATTTCAGAAGATGGAAATGCACATGGAAACTCATCAATATCGTAGAGCTCTTTTCAGACCAACGGGAAACGTAAATAATTTCAGCACAAGCCTTTTGTTCCCAATGACTTTCTGTTATCCCTCATCGGCGATCGTTGATATCTGAAGACAAGGCAACCGCGCTCATTGGGAGCATGTGACTTGATAGTGCTATTGACGAAGCTTGGTGCAATCATGAAGACGTGCGCCGTAAGAAGCAAGGTCAGTTGCTCGCAGTATATCTTTTATGATCAGAACATACGATCTTTAGCCTGCCTGTTATTCGATCGGTTAGCTGATTATGGCACATACTATCAGAAATTAATTTTGAAAACTTGTTTTCAAGCAAAATTTATCCGCTTAAATGCTTTAGTTGGCATTGGTATGTTTACGTGAAAACAATGTATGCTCAAGATCATGGGCTCTTAGAGGCTCCATCCAATTAACTATCAATAATAAATTTTGCACATAAGAAGAAAAAGAAGTGGCTGCCGAAACAGCGCTTAACACACCTAGTGGAAATAGATATAAAAACGTCCATGTGTTTTGAAAAGTTACACCGAGGGAGTTACTTCCCAGACGCTAAGTTACAACAGTAAATTAAATAGGCTGGTAGTCATATATTTAAAGCCTATATATATATATATAAAGATCTTACCACGTAACATCCATTGAAGTGCATTTAAGGACCAAAACATTTTAAATTCAGCGGGTCAAATAGATTCAAAATTGGGGCGTCCGACTCGAGCTTCGCAACGTCCAGCGTAATAGCTTGACATTCATTGTGGTGAATTCATTGCGAGATAGACCACGACAAGTTAAATGCAATCGATGGAAATTTTATACGATTCGATAAAAATTCTCATCATCTTCACGAACAATAGCGTCAGAAATTTATGTAACGAAGAATTAAGATCTGGAAATCCAATCATTCATCGATGCTTTTAAGAAGTTCTCATGATGCATAAAACTCGATATTTCCGATATGTGAAAACAAATTGCTCGTAATCCTAAATGGACTTCAATATGTATTCATACTTTCGTACTCGGCGAGTCAGTTATCTCTAAATAAATGTCTCAATTTTACGAGCGATTCCCTGGTATCTTGCTGCAAGTTAAGCGAAGCTATAACAGAGAACGCAAAGCCATTGCAATGATTAGACTAAAATTTCGTACATCAAGTTTTCCGTATGAAATTTAGCAGTTCAGGAGATTGTGACACTGAAAAGTAAGAATATGCCTGGCTTGACCAACTCTAGAGCATCACAATAACAAATAGAAGAGGTTGCATAGAAAGAGTCGAGTATGCAATACACGCCAATGATCAAAAATCATGCCTAACGCATGAACTGCAAGCAACATTACTCGGGTCACTGCGCCTATCATTAGAAGAAAAAAAAGCACGTTTTTATAATGGTAAGTTCTAAAAAACGGGTGTAATTTCCATCCACAAATAAAAAAAAAAGAACTTGTGCAAACCCAACTTTGAACGGAAACTACAAGAAAAAGATGGTTTCTAATTACTTTGCCTTCCTAATTTTGATTCGAGATATTTTAGCAATTAGTACAAGTAATCGAATGCAGAAGAAAAACTGTGATCTGCTGGAAATGTTTAAAATTTCCGAGTTATAGATTTTTGCCGATTTTATTCCATGATAAAGTTCCTTCAAGTATCCAGACTTGCGATCAAAAATATAAGCTTACCGATGACAGATTTATACACACACAGATTATAAGTGACACATTAAAAAGGCAAACCATTAATATCTACTTAATTTAAAATATTAATATTCCCCACACCAGCCACAATAAGTTTCTCTTTTATGCGTACCGGGACTGGAGTTCCTCGCATGTTAACACTCCGGTTTCTCGCTCATTTCAAGTTTAAACCAACAAGATTTACCGTCGGGTGCTGTTGCATGGAGCAAGCAAACGCATATGGAATGTTCCTGAAGAATCTAGTCTACAAAGTAAGAAAGTTAGGCTTCAAGGAAAGCAACACTGCTGAAATGAGCAGGAACTAGACAAGTGTTCACTAGTCATCGGCAAGAACTTTATTCGATTATTGGCTCGTTGAACTTGCGATCACTAAAAAACGATTGTAGGGAATCGTTGAACAGGAACCATTTAAGGACGAAAAATAATGATGAAACTAGTTGAACTATTCATATGAATTAAGCTGAACTTTGAATTCCAAGTTATATTCAAAATAAAAGGATTTTAACTACTTAAAAACTAAAATACTATGAAATAAATTCTTTGCCTTGTGGTTAATTTCCTGTAAAAACACAGTTTTATATAATTATTTTTGCAATAGATAATTCGACGCCGATGAGCCTTGAAGGTCTCCTGCAATGCACCAAATACTGATCTACTAAGGAACAGCTCGCCACACCAAAAAGCTCTAAAAGCTTCGAGACTCTGCTAAAATTTGAGCAAGGAAGGAAAACTGACTGTGTGGCCCACGCACTTACAGCCTAATGGCATCATAGATTTAGGAAGAACAGCGCTGCCGTTCTAAAAAATCGTGAAATAATTTTTGTATACATGATATTGAGAAGGAGAGAGAGACTAAGAATACATATTAGGCAAGAGAGTAAGTAACTATTACGTTCATCTACCACCGATACGGAAAGCTTTCTATTGGAAAGACATAATGGCTTTATATCGAGCACTTTAGAAACAGCAGTTTCTTTTATAAGTACATAATCAAAGTCAGCTTAGTAACAGAAAAGCCATCCAAACGATTCGTAAGTTTACATTTATACGACAAGTCATAAACACCACTTTAAAAAGTGCAAAAGTATTTAAGGAACGACGTGTATCTTAGGAACGAATTTAATACAGGTTTGCAGTCATAAATCTGGGGGTTTGGGAGAAAAGACCAAGCAGCTCTTATTTTATGACAAAATTTTTACAGCATTAATTAAGCAAAAATTCAAGCCTTGTCTCAACGGAGATTTTCAAAATTAGTCAAGAACAATGGCGACTTTTTCCATAAATGAGAAAATGCGCTAAAAATGAACGGGGAATTTATTACTATCCTCACATGTGAACGAGGAAACAAATCAAAACACCCTTGAGTTAATTAAATATCGCAAAAACAAAGGACTTTAAGGGAATAAAATAATTAACATCTAAAACTTATGTGTCAGACATAGGTTCGGAAAAATAGGAGTGTCAGACATAGTAAATCCCGCAGTGTTCAGAAGAATAGCAGTTGTAAAACTTGTTTATTCACTTTATAAGTTATTGATAAAATAGAAGTAGCGAGCTAGTGTGTACGGAAAATATTCAAGCATTTAGTCGGGAGAAGAGATCGAGTGCGCTTTGCAATTGTCTATTCCGGGGCAACGGGAATTATGACCAAACCCGAAATGTAATGTCATTAACATATGTAATCGCCTTTCATCTCAATGAAGTATTAAATTCTGTAGTATATGATAACGTCGTTGGAGAAAACATCGTTGACGTAATTTGTCCAGCACCACGCAGCTAGCTTTAGTAAATTAAAATAAAAAATGCTTTACCAATTAAGAGTGTATTTCCTTTAAATAATTGTAAGGATATCACGTTAAAAACGAGATGATGAACTATATCTGGACGCAGCATAAAGCGGTATTATCTGGATTAATATGTTCATATTCTAGCCTTGAAATTGCACCAAATAATCTCGTAGCTGTTGTGCTTGCATCGGAAACGAGAACAATGTAGTTGTTAAGTCGAGACGATCCGGTATACTGCTATGTAGGTTCAAAATGAACCCTTATTGGGATATATTACTATTAACATTATTATTGAAGTTAAATAAAGAAAAAAAGCCTCTTTCCAACCGAAAGTGTTCCTTTATATCCGAGATATTATTGTTATTGAGAGAGGGCAACGTAAAATGCTCCTCAAAAGAGGATCCAACTGAAGGGACAATCGAGCCTACTACAGAGACTGCGTACCGTAACCCGGCAAGAAAACGACGAACGAAATCTCCTCATAAAGAGAAGTTCTAAGCTTTACCATCAATATTCGATAACATGATAAAACTCACTACATAGCTAAGCATTTTTTAAGCTATCTAGCAGTAACACATTGAAGTCTAGCAGTAACTATGGAGCTTTAGTTTCTCTGGTGCTCGCTGGAGATCGAGTTGAATCAGCCTTAGCAGCACTAGCACAATTCGCTTGGGTACTTAAACTACTACTGTCATTTAGAGTTGCACTACAATTGCTGTTGCCGTTTGATCTGCTGTTTGCCCCGGAGGATTCGCACTCTCCAGGAGCTGCTGAAGTTGCCGCTGTTTCTGTAGCGTCTGTCGCGTTGGCAGAGGACGAGGCGCCAACAGTCGAGCTTCCTTCTGACTCTGGCGCACCGTCGGCGCTGGTCGCCTGCGCGCCGCCCTCGATGCTGCTGCCGCCGCTGGCCTGGTCCTGAGACTCATTCAGTTTTCTCCCTTTGGCCGACACGAGGGCCAGTCTTCTCATCTGTCTGATGACCGCTGTCGCGTTGTACGCTTGCTGCACGATAACAAATTGTATAAATAATATGCACTCTTGTAATTGTAGAATAAATAACCATTTAGGAAGTAATGAAAGTGTTACTTACAAATCACCGAACTCGTTGATAATAATACACGGAGCAAATTATATGCGAGTCCGTAAATGAGAATAAATAGAAGAGCCCATAAAATATTGTTACACTCTAAAGGTCGTGCATGCATTTCGGATACAAAAAATTATTTCGTATGAGAACAGTTTAAATTTTACAGCAATCAGCAACGGTCAAGACTGAGGTAAGAAGCAGGGAAATTTTAAAGGATGAGGCTTTTTTAAAATTAAAAAATACAATCATTAGGTTTACTGCCAGTAGCAATTACTGTAATAAATAAATTAATTGTAGTTATATTTGACGATAAATATTTCCGACCGAATGAACACGATTGTGTATGGCCAGATGCTGACAGATGCTCAGGAAGTGAAGATATTTGCTGCAATTTTGAATGTTAAGACCTTGATTTATGGCTCAAAAGTAATTATTATACCACATATATTTGCAAGAATATCGAGAAAAGCAATAAGAAGCTTACACATGAATGAAAAGTTGAAATAAAATTATATGTAAGAGCCACAAAATGATTTTAATCAACGCAAACAACAACAGCAAAAAAAAAAAAAAACGCTATGAATCCGATCTCAGGTACAGAGAGACAAGAGTTTTGTGACGAGATGAAAAAATTATGACTGCTTCTCGGTAATTCCTATTATATCTCCACTTGTCTTCATTTTATGATAAGTCATATCAAATACAAATAATATTCCTGGACTGACTTTTGCGACGATTTCAAGAAGAAAGCAAATCACGTAGCGAAAAAGATCTAGATGGAACAAAACGGCAAATATCAATAAGAAAGGCAAATTCGGTTAACTCTAGAGAGCATAATCCTTACTAATACAACAGACGTTAACATCGTCGAAGTCAGCTCAACTTTTATTTCGTAACGTATTTCAGACATATTACACGTCGAATTTGAAATCGATAGACTATGCTGGTTGAGTCGAAGTAACAGCAGCACAAAGAAAACAATTTTTACAGAATTTCTGCACAACTCTAGTTTTAGACATGAGACGTCTAAATCACAAGCCCATCAACGAATCCGATAGTTTCTCTAAACCTATGACAGAAAACGGTGGTTCGATACTTGCGGGATAACTGCTGTAAAAATATAACAAGAAAATGGGAGATTCAAGGCATCATGGAGCGGGTTTATAAGTACAGTCTGTACAAGAAATTTTCAAATTGAATAAACAATTACGATCATGACAAATCGTGTGTATTTTCTTACGGAACATGGCAAGTTAAGTGAAACTTGCACCTCGTTGTTCACACATTCATTCATGCACGTGATAGGCACAGGTAAATCGCTCAAAAAATACCCGTACTAGAAAACAAATTGAAGCAGAACAGATTATGAACATTGATTTCCCCCGAGCATTTGGAAAATTTCTTGTTGCATGCTAATATTTGTGTTGGAATGGATCGGAAACAAAACCAGCTGTTTCAAAGCAGACCCGTGATTCGGGCTTTTTTTTTTGTACTAAATTCTTTTTATATTTCTATGGGTAATAACGCAACAAGCCTTATCCAATAGCCTTATTATCAATAAATGAAAGTACTTCTATGATGACATGCTTATCATTTTATACCCATCATTTCAAAGCTAGATGATATGACCGGAGACTGGCAAGATAAGTTACAGCAGGACAACCCAAAGTCGTCAATCTTAAAAGAACATCTGATTGAAGGAGCTATATTGGTGTACAATGAATCTGAAAATAATCTTTGCTTCGTCTACATCACAGAGTACGTCAATCGAGAGACAAAACCACGAACGGTTCTTGAACGAGTGGAAGAATTAACTCATGATACAAAATTGATAAAATGTTTGCAAAAAACCCTATAGAAAAGCGACACACCGACATTAACAAAGATGGATCAGTATGCACAAAATAAAAATCATCTTCCAGCAATCAAAAATTTATGGCGCAAGAAACTTACTGCGGTCACTGCAAATTAGCACGAGCCATCATCGTACCTCACATAAAAGCAAGTAATTTTTTGAAGAACACAGGAACAGCTTTCACGCGAATCACCAGAAAATCAACGCTATTGAGGCATTGGAATCATAACACGAGTAATTATTTATTAATCAAGGGAACGTTACAATTTTTAGGCAACGAAGGAAACGTAATGGGTTTGTTTATCTCCCACCGCTGCAACGAACAGCTCGTAAGCTGTACGCCTGAGACAGAGACGTACAAGTAGAAGGAGGAGGAGGAGGAGAGGAAACTTCATCGCCCTTGTTTTCCGCATTGCCCTCGGCGATGGGACGGCAAGAATTCGCCCCATCGACGTCCATGCTGGCTGACGATAGCGCGAGGCGTTGCATCTTGTGAACCATTACGATTGCGTTCATCAGTTGCTGTAACGAAAATAGATATTGGCGCAAGCGTCCATGCACAGCAGCTGACCAACACATTGGGAGCAGTGATGTAAACGACCGTTAGCAACACAGCCGTATCGCAGGATCTAGGCCGATCAGGCCAGTGGTTTCTGGATTATCAAGTATGAGATCGCTTATCTTGAAGCGTACTTCGTTTCTACACGCAGTAAGAATACGAGTAGTAGGACAGATAATTAATGCTCAAACATTACACATCAAACCGATTATCTGGGAATTAAGAATTGATTTATGTTTCTGAAGGATCAAAAACTCAAAAATACACCATTTTCTCTGAGTTGAATGTTAAGGCTGATTTAGGAGTGTGAAAATGAGTGAAGACATTAAATTGTTTGCTTTGGATTACCGCACTTGAATTGGACTGAGAACTATTAAAATGCATTGCTTACAGACTGTGAGTAAATGGGCAAGATTGAGCATCAATAATCCATGAATGTTAGAGAAAAAAGTTAAGTATCCAAACAGCACGCTGGAAAAGATATTCAGAAGTGAATGCAGAGTTAATTCAAGCAAAAATTAGGCATACACCTTACACCAGGGAGATTATGCTTATAAATGGAGAGAGAAGTGTTACTGCATCAAACAATTAAGAATACTCAACTTTAAGCTCTTCAAACGTAAATTGTTTTTTAAAGTTCATCGAAAAAAATATTTGACGTTAAGTTTTATGTCAAACGCGTCTTCTCGAAATACGTTCTATGTGAAGGATTAAATAAGAACGTTATTCCCTATGATATTACTCCGAAATTTTCCGGAAAGCATTACGAGAATAGAGTGAAGAGTCGCTTGTCGTCGACTAACTTCCTCGGCAAATGAGATTGAAGAGTTTAAAGTTGGAGTTTTCCAAGAAACAATGATAATAATACATAAACCAATAAGTTTGAAATGCAGTGATTGGCTGTATACGTAGAGCCAAAAGTAATGACTTGAATTAAAGAATCGTTGGTACTTGAGTATCGCGAATATTTTCGCCATATTGGAAGGACGAGGCATTTTGACATTCATTAAACAATGTCAAAACAACTCATGATAGAGTTTCCATGCATGTCACCTCACTTCAAACGATTGTGCTAGCTGCAACTCCATATAATTAGAAATGGAATAAACATTCGCCTTGTAAAGCAAAATTTCAGTATTTTGAGAAAAATTTGAACCTTGTGCAAAAAAATTAGTAAATTGCAGGAATTTCTTGGTGCATAAAAGGCAAATATACCATACGAATTCCAGAAGAAGCAGATTATTAATCTTATTAAAATGTCCAAAAATTGGAAGACAACAAATTTCCATAGGAATTGAATGGGTAAACTTTTCAAGCTGCTCCTTGCATTGTGAACAGCAGTTGCTAAATAGAGAATTGTCGGCATATGCAAACATCATAAAAAACCTATTTAAAAAACATTAGATAAACAGCCCATCCATAATGATTTAATATTTGAATTCGATTAAAGAGACACGCGCATCCCAAGGTTCACGGATCACTGAACAGTTTGTGTACAGGCTAAAACAATACCTGTTAAGATTCTATTCGTGATATTGGTCGTGAGCGAACAAATCAAAAGGTAAAAATGTTCACGCCATTAGGCGATTTTTTCCACCAACGTTAACCACATGTTAACAAGATTTGAATCTGGACACAAAGTACAGGACAAATTAGATTTGTTTCAGCCAAAATCGTTGAAAAAGTTAACCATAGTGAGGATCTAAACTAAACTTAACGAGCTCTTTCCAGATGCAATAAAAACAAACTGGGGAAATGCAGCAAAAATAAACTGGGGAATATTCTTCTTCGATGTTTTTGGTTGAGAATGAGATAAAGGGAAGCCTGAAATCGCTTGTAATCGAGTTGGTAAGACGAGCTCGGGAACACAACTGAAGTTCGCTCCTCGAACGAAAAACTATCGATGACGAATACAACAAAAACATCAATACACAAAAATAGACATTAAACGGGGAAAAATTATATAACAAATAGAACAATCGTGATCTTCAATGAGAATGCTTTGCGAGCTCAAGTACTCAAATTGTAGATGCAGTTTCGAATAATAGCGAGTGGTAAAATCTCGGTAAATAATTATATAGCAATTGAACTTCTCACCAATCTTCCATCGGTCAATTAGATGAAATAAATGTTCTAATGTTTGATATCGTTGATCATTGCGATTTTTTTAAATTATTAATTATGAAAATATTTTTCGAAGGTCGAACCGTCAACGCAACAGTTGAAGGTTCGAACTGGCATTAAAAAAATGTGACAAGCATTATTTCAGAGTAAATTGGGGATAAATTACAAAAATATATAATAAATTGACAAATTTCAGTCGAAACAAAGTGAAGTGCCTGTGCTCAAGTAAAGGAAGGATATTAGAAGCCCTAGCAAAATTATTACAAATAAAATAAGACTAATTAATGCATTCAAAAATTTATGGTTACTATTAAATAAAAATCAAGATCAAAATGCTACAAGAAGTACAAATATAAGCATTCTCACGTAATAAATAATGGAACTAAATATCAAAAGACATCAAGACCACACGGAAAACTGATACCATGCAATGCGCCGTCACACAGAACATAAAAACAGATCATGCAAAGAAGTTTCTTTCGATAATCTCGCTACCGATATGACACATTTACATTAACTTCGACGAGTAAAACTGCAAATAATTTAAATTTAAAAGCCAACAAATTAGAGAAACAAGTGCTGCGCCTAATTTATTTTCAGGAAGTATGCAAAAAAGTGTATAATCAAACTAAATGCCTCAATGCCTGCGCATACATTTGCTTTAGAACACGACCTGAGAGTTTTTCTAGGAACTTTCTTCTCCACAAAAAAGCAAAACAACCTATAATTGAAGTATTTGAGAACCCCAAGCGTAAAAAGCTCAATTAAAGAATAAAACTACTATTATAACGAGTCCTCCACTTTCGTAAATGAACATAATTATTGCCTTTAAATAACGTTTATAGTACGAGCGTAACGAGACTTCTAAAGAATATGGCACACGTTACAGCAGCCGCACACACAAGAGCTTTACTTTCGGAGCTTCGTAAAATATGGATGGTTTCCATTAGGTCCGAGACCATGAAAGAGCAAAGTCGAACATTTTCTTCAGTAATCCTATTATTTCCTTAATAGCATTTGTATTTATTGTGAAACATCGAAAATAGGTTGAGTTCGAGAGAAGTTACCATGTTCAGTTTGATATTGTCTATTCCGTTGGAAACTTGCTGAAAATTTCGTAATAAAGTTCTCCTCGGAGAATGAAAACGAGAATCTCGTATTGTAATTATAACATAGTTAGTACATTCGTTATTATTGTACTCTAGGATGCCTATCACTGCACATGCTTACTAATGTAAGCGCAACAGGAAGCAACGAATGTATATATTAAGTTCGACGACCACTCAGTATCGCTCAACGGACCACAAGAAAAAATAAAACGTTCTCAATCAATTCCAAAAGCACATGCAGTCACTTTCTCCTCATGAAACTTCTCAATGATGTGTTCACAGCTTGTCTGTTGATACAAATCTTACGACATCATTTCGTCCAGGACAAAATATTAATATCGCTTATGTGATCGTTACGAACCGCATGCGAAAAATAAAACGAATATATATACATATGTATCAGTAAATTTTTTGAAGACCAGAGAATTTGCTTTATTGACAATTTTCTTTGTAGTTTACGGACTTCCGAATCACCTTTCCCAACTCCCGGCAAAAAAAAAAATTACCGACACACCAACGGCGTTGCTACGGGCATTCCATTGGTCGTACTGTTGCTGAGTACTATATGTGCGGAAATGAAAATCGAGTACTTTCAGATGAACACAGAACGAGCCCGCATTGTCCTGCAGGTATATGTCGATGATATCTTCGTTGTCATTCAAGATGAAGAACAACTGAGGAATCTACGAATGGCCTTTGAAATTAATTCTGACTCTAAGTTTACTTACGGAATCGGACAAAAGCGTGCTTAGCCTTTTTTAGATATATTCGTACATGCTAAAAATATTCCTTCGTCACCAAACTATAATGGAAACCAACAGATGTAGGTCGGGAGAGTCCCAAACGCCGCCTGCGAATGCCATGAGCGCTACAAAAAAAGCACAATACGTGCTCTCATAAATTTAGTCTATAAATTTTCCCGCAAAAGAGAAGGTTGTAGACTTCTCCCTAATATGGATGGACCACATCGGACTCACAACTACGACATTAAGCCGACGTCTCACGTGCCCCCTTCAGTCTGGTGGACCAAGGAACCACCTGATGTAAGTCCACAACGAGACCATCACCCGTACGGTGCTCGAGGCACCAGCGTCGTCATGCGATGCCCCGACGCCAACCGACTCGCGATAGCCGAGGCCCTCAAAATTAAAGATGGGACCCCAGCCAAAACAGCCATTAACCTTGAAACTACTGGATTTGTCAGAACCTTGAGACTGTTTTCGAAGTAATTTTTAGTGCTTTAATTATTGTCCATCTTCATATTTTTGAAATTTTATAATTATTTCTTATCAAATTGATTTTTGAGTAGTATCCTATTTACACGATTCTGTACTGATGTCGTCTAAATTTCTTCACTCAATGCGTCTTGTAAATTGATAATGAATTATTGATACATTCGAAACGTTAACGAAATCAAAATGTCCATCGGATGTATTAAAAAAGCTAGTAAGAAAATTGTCAATTAAACAAATTTTGTGGCCTTCAATGAAACCTGCTTAAAGGAACAAATTCTACTAAACCTATACTAATATATAGTAAGCATTAAAAGAAACTAAACAGTATCAAAAGAGGCCACAGGAACATCACGAAAACGAGAGTCAAAATAAATAATTTATATTATAATTAACAGCTCAACCACAGCAAAAAACTTCGCACAGATAACAATTTAATTCTGGGCCAGTCACAGAAAACACGTTTAAGCTACAACGCTACAATTCAATTACGATTTATACATTTTGTCGTGGGTATGAAGTGTGAAGCATGTAACGTGACACGACGACACATCGTCGAGGCAAAACATGATGATCGCGCAGCAGACGATAGTTAGCTTTCTTACGATTATTTTTATGTCTAGGCCTTCTAGATAAATGCACCAAGCGCCTTGAGCTTGATACGCAAAATCTGGCGGTCATTTATAACGAAATCCGTTATACAGTAAGGGATTAGATTCGTTCTATTCTAAATGCCCCATTTAATTCCCTGAACTACAAATTATCATATATTCATAGTTAAGCTCTAATAATATTGGAATCTGGACATTCAAGCGAGCAAAGGTCAAGAACTGTCAACAATAACGTCAATAAGTTATGGGCATCTCTAGAAGGCCTTGGTATCGCGCAGCACAATGAAACAGTGAAGCCTATAAGCTGAGGGTGGGCCCTACGTATATCGTACCTTCCACCTGCTCTTAGCAAAGTTCTTCTTGAGTTGCTCGGACACGGAGCTGTGAATGTTGCGGTCGCTCGCAGCATTGCCCGAGATCCTGTAGAGAACAAACAGTTGTTTCAGTGCTGGGAAAAAGAAAATTAGTTTGTGCTTTGATGAGGGGAGAACTTGAAAGATAGGTTTGCCAAGTACATGTAAATCACATGAAGTGGAAAGTGAAAGGAAATCGACAAAATTGAGCGAATGACAAAATTGAATGAGTTATTGTTTTACCCAATTGATTAATTTACCCGAAATAACACTGTAAAGTGACAGCCACATCGAAATTCACTTTATAATGATGGCGGAGAAAATATAAAAAGCTATCCACGCCTTGTTGAGGTGTAGATCACGTTTTTTGAAGGAATAACGAAGAAAACCCTTATTTTTCCATGCATTCAAGTCTCTAATTATAAAAGGTATCATTTGCAATTGACATTACACCATTTGCAATTAAACGCGAGTCTTTTCAGGAACAAAAGTCGATTCGCCAATAATGACATGACTTTAGGATTTTTTTCTCTATTTAACAGCAAGAAAACTCAGCATTTACCACTGCTCTATTTTTCGTACCGTTAATAATAAAAAATATCCTAATTTAGTCTTAACACAAAGACTTTACGTAACGTTTCTTCAGCACCCATTACTGAATGTAGAATATTGAAATAAGCTTGCTTCCTGGAATCCTTTCAATTGTTAAAGAATTTTACCGAGCACTCGTGAGTAAAAATTAAAAATAAGCGTCCGCCTTAATGCGGCGTTGAAAGTTCACCTCTTAAATTCCTAGAAAAATAAACACAAAACTTAGCGGAATAACAAATCCCTTATTTGATGAAAAATCTTAGTTCTTTCCAAAGTTAATTGAAAACAAAAGATACAACGTTAGAAATTCCAAACAACGACAAGCTGACTATACCGCAGTTACTTTTGCAGAGCCTGTACACTGTACAGTATATTAGATAAGTAATGATGTCTTGAGGAAATTTTGAATAAGAAGTAAACATAATGCGACAGAGAAATAAACAGTAAACTGTGAGTACAGCTGCAAGTTTCCATGTATTCGTACAAGCCATGGACAGATGTCACAATATTCTTTCTTTATTTTTTATTCACACAGGAGCACACAAAAAATACATAATAAGAGAATATCGAAAATTTGAAGAGAAAAAATATTGAACTCCACAGTTTTATTTATTTATCAACTCTAGACTTGAATAAACGTCGAATTTAAAAAAAGTGTAGACAATACAGAAATAGTAAACGTGATCTCACCAGGGGTGCTGGAGCGACTGCTTGCAGGTATAGCGCTTCTCGACGTTAACGCACAACAGCTGACGGATAAAGTCTTTGGCACTGTCACTGATCTCGTCCCAGTACGGAGAGTCAAACTCAAACTCGCCTGAAATAAAATAAATAAAACTGAGTACTCACTGCAGTGAGTGACAGGGAGCGCATTTTCACGCCGACGAAAATGTGAAGTCACGGACGGACAGACAGACGGACGGAGCACAATAGCGCTTTTTTTCCATAAATGAGAAAATGCGCTAAAAAGATGGGCTTGAAACTACTCCAAAATCTTAATTTTCGCTCACATGTGTGCTGCAGGAAAAGTTGCTAAATTTGACGATGCAATTAAGTATTACCGACTCGAACTTGCAGCAAGTATATGAAGCATATCCAATGACTTTAACGGATGGTAATTATCACCTTTGAATTGAGACAATACTTTAAAAACTTGAATATGTAGAAGACTATAATCTTAGGAATTTTTAAGGAATATATGAAGTTGAATACGAGAATAAAATGTTGATAGTTTTTACAATCTTCATCAGTAACTTCAGTAAATAAAACAACTGCACGAAGTTTTAAAAAACAATAGAAACAACAGCGCGAAAAAGCGCTAAAATCAACATGAAATGTGTATGTATGATATTATTTACAATAATAATTGATAATTCCCAAAATAAGTTAACACCACCCGTGTTCATGGAAGGCATGATTTTCAAGAGCCATAACGGCTCTTGAAAAAATGTTTGATCTGCCGTGGCTTTCAGAGGCGCAGCTTTAATGCACCGAGATACATTTTTGTCGGCCTGCGGTGAACGCAACTCCTGATAAGAGAAAGTCGTTACCAGTTCCCGTCACTTACAGAAAAATGCGGAACATCGAAAAACCGTCCATGCACATCACAGCGGCCCAAAAATATCAATGTCTATATCTGAATTGCTAACATTGATTGCCAAAGAGATTCAGAAATTTAGTCATAAAAAATACATTTGTTTTTGTTTATGAACAAAACTTTTGTTATTGTTGTTTTGAACAAAAGAATTGTTCGCACAATTCTTTTGTTCGCTCATTTTTTGAGAGAAAATCTTCGCCTTTAATAAATAATGTGTAGTCAACTTCGACAGGAAACTTAGGACAGGAAACCCCCTCCAAATAACTGCCTTTAAAACACGCGAGTCGAAGGAAAAAATAGAGTAAATTCCCCCCACGGCTCTTGAGCAAGAAGAAAGCCTGTAAGATATTTGGCTCACCCTTGAGGATCTGGGCGAAGAGGTTGGCATCGTTCTCATCATAGAATGGCGGGTAACCGCACAGGAGGATGTAGGCGATGACGCCGATGCTCCAGACGTCAACCGCCTTGCCGTACGGCTTCTGAGCGAGCACTTCGGGAGCTGCAAGCCAAACATTTGTGATCAAAATACGAGGTCTTCTCTTATCAGCAAGTTTTGTCGCTGAAATTCGATTTCAAAATAATCAACACCAAAAAATCGGCGTAAGAAGTTCAAGAATGATTCATAGTGAATCTTCATTTCGGCTGACTCTTTGAGAGTTCACAGAGATTTCGAAGCATGATTAAAAATTAAAAACTTGAGGAAAAACACAATGCGACGAAGAATAATTTTCCATTTTATTTTATAACTTAGCGAAAAACCATGGCCATATCAGAGAAAATTTTAGAAGGGAAAAACTTTTGTTTGTTATCAAAGATTGACAGACGGAGAGAGATAATATTTCAGGAGATCTGTTGAATAAACTTTACTGATCATTCGATTAAGTCCTTTTAAAATATTCTTGCAGTAGTTGGCGATTATGCTGAGGAAAAATGCCCAGTCTCAAACATAGAACTCAGAACTTCAGTGATCGAAATTCTCTTTAACATAAAAAACTCTGACTACGAGCGAAAAATTCAGGCCCTTTCCGCGCCAAATCGTTCTTTATCCCAGAGATCGCAACTTCTCAAATGAATAATTTGCCTACAACAATAGTTATTTCAGAAATAAATATGACATGGAACGCAAGAGGTAAAAATGCACCGGTCGACACGTAAATTCTATACTGTAATAGATATTTAAACATAAGCTTTGGCTATCATGGATCTGTATGACTGGGCTCCGTTTACTGCTTGAGCATGAGCATGATATGCAGCTAATTACAGTACTTTAAACTTCAGGGGGTGTTGACGAAAGTTATTCGTACTCAGGATAGTTCTAGGAACATGCTTCAGGGCTGCTTGAATTTCACAAACAACTGGTTCAACTACCGCAACCCACACACAGCAATGGGTAAAAACCAGGAGACGATATCTTTTAGATTTAGTCTACAGCTACATCAAAGACGACATAAGACTTCCCAGTTCCCACAGTTAGGTTTCTTGTATACGTGGACAGTAGTGGCGGCGAGTAGAACTTTCAAATGCTAACTGCTACAAGTTGGAATAAAGTCACGAAAAGTACAAGAATCGGCAACAGGACATGGGCCTATTTCTTCAGTGCCGACACTTCTATTCTATTCTAATACAGACCTAGTGTAAAGAGTTGCAAGGTCCTCTCGTGGCAAGGAGCGCATATACACGAGGCACTGTAAATAGTGGCAGTCAGTACTTGAAAGTTGTACTACTGGCCGCCACTTCTTCCAACATATTAAGTACAGAGTGGGGCTTCGCTCTCACCAACATAGCCCGGAGTGCCGCACGCCGTAGCCATGATACCAGAGTCCTCTAGTTTGCTGAGCCCGAAGTCGCTGATCATGATCTTGCTCTCCTCGTCCTGGCTGTAGTACAGCAGGTTCTCCGGCTGTAGAAAATTAATGCCAAAATAAAAGCGATGTTACCAAAAGCGGAATGAGTGACCATCAAGATGTAACAGAAACTAATTATTTCAAGTGTCCAATCACTGAATTTCGATTCGAATTAGAATAAGAGCATTACGATGTAAGAATTGAGCATGAAAAAATCAGCGCCAGGAGCTACCTCGTTTAATTGACTAGATTTACACAAAATACAAGTTAACAACAAAGGGCATGTAAATTAAGAGCACCTGAAAAAAACTCATAAAGAAAAAGACTGTCCGGATGAATCAAGCTAAGTTTGTCATACAGAGTAACAATTGAAATGCAGCGCCACACATTAAAATTATTTGAGGATACAATTTCTAAGTATTCAAAAAGCACCTCAAGACTGTTATGAGAATATGAATTGTTTTAGAACCACTTGATCTAGCTATGAAATACAATGCAGTGATTTCAACAATGCCTGATCATTCTCGTTAGAGCTTCTTCTACTCGCAACTTACTTTACAGAATATTATCAAGTTTCTACTGAAATAGAAATCATGGATATGTGCTTCGAGGTTCGCTCTTTTTAGCGCATTTCCTCATTTATGGGAAAAAGGCGCTATTGTGCTCGTCATGTCCGTCTATCTGTCTGTCTGTCCGTCCGTCCGTCCGTGACCACGTTTTCGTCGACGAGAAAATGCGCGCTCTGTTACTCACTGCAGTGAGTACTGAGTTATATTTTTTGTACTTCAATTTGTTATTGCTTGACAGGAGCGGATGATCAGTGGTCTCACCTTGAGGTCTCTGTGAACGACTCCCTGTTCGTGCATGTAGTCGACCGCCTCGAGCACTTGGCGGATGAGATCAGCGGCGTCCTTTTCTGTGTACGAGCCTTTCTCGACAATCCGGTCGAAGAGTTCGCCGCCAGTCACCCTGGGACACAGCACTGGGTCAAGAGATGCTTAGGCACCGGCAAAGTATTTATTTGAAAAATATTTTTCGTATTATTAACAAGACCTTGAGTGGTAGCGTGAACATACTAGCATTGCTTATCACACAAAAATACATTTCAAAACATGAATATAATCCGTGACCAATTGCAGTGGTACCTCACTTATGGCAATCGCGTGAAACTTTATCTTATAACGTAAATGGGCTAAAGCAAAAAGGCAATTTTACTATAATTTTTCAATAATAAATGTATCTTAGCTACACAAGGCGAGCCACGTCCATTAAAACGCATAATTAAATGAACAAGGAATTTTATTCATGAAAGTCTACGTACATTTGAGTATGCGTACACGGACGCATATTCGCAATCCAAGGAATCATGCAAAGCAATCAATCAATACTATCGTGCAATTGCATCGCAGTTGTAAGCCTCAGTTTTTGCAGTTCTACAACCGTCATTATAGTTTGTCAGTTAACTCGTCATGTGTTGATCAGTGTCGAGGTAAGTCAATCAGTCCACCTTCAGATTGCAAACTAAGGAATATCCAAAAAAGTGTCTTCTCTTGGCAATAACAAAGATATTCCAATTAAAACATTTCCGGAAATAGAAACGCCACTAGTGCAATTTTTAATTCAAGGCTCTGCTGGCCGTTCATTCACAAGTGATTACCTCGGATGATTAAAAGTTTGTATCCCTAAACGGCAATTTGATATCTTGTTATACTATTGTTTTCTGGTGATGGCAATATACGTATTTACGCAGAACTAAAACAAATCAATCTTGCAATAGAAGAGGGAAACCGGGAAAAATAATTTAGGATTCGAATAGCTGCACAGTATTCATGGAAAGTACAGATCAAGTAAAAACAGAAATTAAATGCAATTTACCACGTGAACGAAGATAAATAATAAATACATAAATACACCCCCTTAAAAAGTTTCCCCAGTTATACTTAGGCGAAGAAATTAAAAATCCAATAAACTGTAACTTATAACGAAGCAAACAAATAACTGGATATGATATACATCGCTCAACATTAAAAAATTAATGTAGCTCAGAGTCCCGTTTCTTCGGTTGCGATACGAGTAACAAGGTTCCGATGCACCATGCCATAAAATTCATGTTTAGTGCGACGGCTCAGTTCATTCCTCACCGTAAAATCAACCCTCATTGAAATCAATCGTAAATTTGAAGAACGAATATCAGATATTGGCATCGAGACACCTAACACGCAGTTATCGACGAGCACGTCAAAGAATGAAGAAAATTTGAGGCAGACGAGTCATAAAAATTCTCGTTGCAAAATTTCTGACAAAATTTTGTAAGTGGATTAGTTTATTACCTTCAAACTTATCGAATCGCTCACGGACATTACATTTAAAAAAATATTTATTTGACACTGGGAATTAATAAGGTTGTACCTAGTGAAACTTTATTTCATCATCGGGAAAATGAAGTAATCGAAGGTTTAGAGGCTACATATGCAGAAATTTTATAAGCACACTGTAATCTATCAAATTAAAAATTTTTATTGAACAAATTTCACCAGTTTGCAAATGTTGCAAATTAACGTTTTTAACCTTTTACCGCCGAATGTCATTCTCCGGGAAAATAACTTTCAACTTGAATTATACGTAAACTATTGAGTATAGCAACCTGAGGACGTTTGTACGCAACAGAGAACATTTTAAAGTTGTCGTACGTGGCGGCAAATTATACGTAAACTAGTGAGTGTAGCAACCTGAGGACGTTTGTACGCAACAGAGAACATTTTAAAGTTGTCGTACGTGGCGGCAACAATCTGTACAAGTCATTCTGCTCTCACCAGAACGTATCTTTTTTGGGAAGTAGGCTTGTGACAATATTGCTCCGGTTACGCATGTCAGGCGGTAGAGGGCTAAAGTGAAGTTCGACCAGAAAGAGTCTACGGAGACTGGGTCTAATATTTAAATAACTTGTGGATGTGACAAGTCTATTAGTAGTTTCAATTGTGAAATTCAGACTTCTCGGAGGACAGTACTAAACTTTTCGAATCTTCGACGTACATGCATCACGAAAAATAATCTCGAAATATATTGAATAAATAAGCCAACAAAAGAACAAGAACTAATTAACATTGAACTCCAACAGAGGCTCTGAAAAATCCATAAAATCCCCTTCCCAACTATCCAAGAAGATAAAAAAATAAGTAGCTATATCCGCTTCGATGTTCACGTACGTGCACGAGTCACGTTCGTAAAAATGGTTATTATAAGCCGATATTAAGCGACACTTCGAAGCATTTTAGTTCAGCAGATGAGCAGGACGCTGTAGCTGGCACAAGGAGTCGTACCGTGAGCCAGCAGTGAAGGAGAATGCAATCGGCTTCACAAGTTAAGGTTCTGAATCCCAAAATAGATTTTATTCGAAACGAAAGGATCCGAAAAACTTTGTTCCGATTAGCGATAAAAATCGAGACAATCATGGAATTTCGGTGGAAAACCAGGACAATACCGAGACGAGAAATTCTGGGCAAAACGGGAGATTTACAATTTCCTGGAATTGGCATCTTCTCCCTTGAACATGAAGTTAACCCTCGATGTGCAATTTTAATGATTCTTTCTGACATTTAGAACTGTTTTCAGTGTTTTCTTACTCAAAAAGTGTCCATCACATAAGCTTCGTGGCATTTACCAGGCTGGTCGACAATTTTATATGAACTGTACTGACCATACTCGAACAGTGACGGATAAATTAAATAAAACTTTTATAATAATTAATCCAGAAGTTGCAGGGTATGAATGTCATTTAAAAAAAAAACAACTTTATTGGAGGACTTTGGATAATTCATTGTTTGGAATATTTACTTAACTACCAAAACTGATCTGTTATTATGTCGCCAAGTATACCTAATGGCCCAGTGATAAATATATAATCAAGGGTATAACTTATTAACCCTTAATCCACGCCTTCCTTAATCCAAGTAGAGATGCACTGAATCAGTACGGTAACCATGGAGATGCTTTTAAAGTAGTGATATGTTTTTACAAGAGAATGCTTGGACAGATAGGGATTTCCTCGATATCGGATGACAATAAAATGCGCACGAATTTCTCAGTATACGGATTTATCAAGGTTGCGTAATCGAAAGAAATAAATAACACGAAGAAACTTTCATTAAAATGATCTAACTGCTGATGGTGCACGGGAACCATTATCTGCTCATATAAATTTCAATAGCGCACTTTCGATTGAATATAATTGACCCCTCACTAACTTGAAAATCGCAATCGTGCTTGAAGTGAATCTAATCTCTGGTTCGAAAAAACGCGTTCATTAGAACTTCAATAGCTCGCAATTGGTCAGTTGTGAGCTCGTCAGCTCAAGAGGCTTATTTAGTTTCACATGTTTTACAATTTGAAGTTACTGTGAAATCAAGGTAGAATATTTCAGAGTAAATAGTGTCACAAATTAGGTATTTTTGGCCCTAGCTCAATTCATAACGAAGCGATACATATATTGCTTCGAATTGTAAGCTTAATTAATTAAAACATTACTCAAGTTCTAACAAGACAGGCTTCCAGTGTCAGTAAATGAAATCCGCACCACCGCCAACAAAAACTATCCATCAATGTTGATTCAATCAACATTGATATTCGACTAAATGCATATTATTAGTTCTACCTGAACCTGAGGACAGGGATTCGTGGACTTAGTGCGTGAGGGATGAGTAAGACACCATCTGTCTAGAGAACTTATATTGATACGGGGTGGTAATCCAGGAGAGTTATATTAGTGGTATGAGGTTGAGACGTCGACCGTTAAGTGGAATTAAACTGTAAAGCTAGTTACATGACGGCGTAGTCGTCAGTTGCTGCGGAGCCTTACTGAGGTACCCAGTCTTTTATATAGTCACGACTTCCGCCCACTTCTGTGGTCTTGATCGCGCGATGTGTCAAGTGATGGCGTCTATTCTGACTCAGGTCTATATAGTACATTACCATCAATCTCTATCACGTCTAGTGAATATTACGTCTCAACTACAGATGATCAAATCTTACAGTGAATTAATAATGAATAGAATGAGACGCCAGATTGACACTGGACAACTGACAATCGCGAACACTAATTCATAATAGGCATTTGGTGGGAACGTGAGTTCCCATGCACAATCAACCATTGCGCGCTACCATGTTCACGAACAGAACGAACAGCGCTCCATGTTCAGAATATATATGGCAACCGCGGCACTTCATTGCAGAGCAGGCAGGGTACTGAAACGGCGCAACATCAACTCCTGCCCCAGGCTCATTTCGTGATTGTCAAACAATGCTTCACTCTGCCGCAGATTAGGCAGGTACGTTAGTAACAAAACTCCCATTCGGAATTGAATTCGTAGGAGGCATCGGCTAATCTAAATGCGACACGCAAAATTCAAACGACACATCTTATTCACACTTGAGTGCCAGTTCTTTAAAGTTTGCTTAAAAAGTCATCATAGTTATCAAAGAATTGTAACAACGCTGCACAACGTTCACACGTTATAATAATGAAGAGAAAAACATGAACCTGTTTTCGTACTTGTAAAGAAGTTCCAAACACTTAATTCAATGATACAAAACAAAATTTGGCGAACATCCCAACACTGTCAATTGAAGGTAGACAACAGACGTCGCCATGTCACTGGCGCGGCCATGGCTCGTGTCGGGTGCGGCGCCAGGCGAGACCGCCGCAGCAACAGGTTGGATCGCGGAGCCCCGGGCATGCGCGACGGAAAATTTCCAGATCAATGTTAGACTGCAGGCCACACTGACATGTCATGGTGGAGGTACAAGCGAGGACGTCGAAACCAAAGCAGAAACATGAAATAAGCTCAGTGGTCATAAAAATGTGCAGTTACAAATTGTCTTCCCTATTGATTATATGACACAAGCCATGTATTTGTATTGTACTGTAATATTGCAGCAGAACGATTATTATGAAAACTGATCTACTGAAAATA